AATAAAATATATATTAAAAAAAAAAGAAGTGTCATTTCTAACTTGCAGAATATGCACAGCCTGTATTTTAGTTAAAAAAAAAAATCTATGTAAGAACATGTAGCATGAGATTTACCTTCTGGACAAACTTTTAAGTATACATTGTTGACTATAACTACAGTTTGTACAAGCAAATCTCCAAAGCTTGTTCATCTTGCCTAATTGAAACTTATTAGTAGCTTCCCAATTACTGCCCCACCCCAACTTGTGGCAACCAGTTTTACTCTTTGATTTTATGAATTTGATTAGTTTAGATACCTCATATAAGCAGAATCATGCAGAATTTAATTTTTCTGTGACTGGCTTATTTCACTTATCATACTGTTCTCAAGGTCCATCCACTTGTCACATATTTCAAATTTCCTTCCTCTTGAAGGCTGTATAATATTGTATGTATGACTATCATTGGACATTTAGGTTGTTTCCATGTCTTGGCTATTGCAAATAGTGCTGCAATGAATATAGGAATGCTAATATCTATTCAAGATCTAGACTGAAATTCTTTTTTTTTTTTTTTTTTTTCCTTTTTCTGTCAAGGAGTTCAATTCCTTTTATTTTTTTATTATTTATTTATTTATTTTAAATAAATTTTTATTGTTCATATTATTACAAATGTTCCTTTCCCCCCCTTCTCACCCCACCCTCTGCCCTTTCCCCACCCCCCATTGTCCTCATCCATAGGTGCACAGTTTATGTTCAGTCTCTTCCCACATCCCCCTCTCCCCTTTTCCCCAAGAATAAACAGTTCACTCCCCTTCCATACCTCTGATTCTATTATATTCAACAGTTAATATTGTTCCTCAGATTTTTTTTTTTTAGTTTCCTTGGTTTTTAGATTCACTTGTTGATAGTTACATATTTGTTGTTCATAATTTTTATCTTTATTTACTTTCTCTTCTGAAAGAACCCCCTTCAGCAATTCATATAATTCTGGTTTGGTGGTGATGAACTCCTTTAGCTTTTTTTTATTAGTGAAGCTCTTTATCTGACCTTCGAATCTGAGTGATAGCTTTGCTGGATAGATTATCTTTGGCTGTAGGTTCTTGCTATTCATCACCTTGAATATTTCTTGCCATTCCCATCTGGCCTGCATGGTTTCTGTTGAGAAATCAGCTGACAATCGTATAGGTGCTCCTTTATAGGTAACTATCTTCTTTGCTCTTGCTTCTTTTAATATTCTCTCTTTGTCTTTTGCTCTTGGAATCTTAATTATGATTTGTCTTGGTGTGGTCCTCTTTGGATTCCTTTTGTTTGGAGTTCTGTGCGCCTCCTGGACTTGTAAGTCTAATTCTTTCACCAGGTGGGGAAAGTTTTCTGTCACTATTTCTTTCAGTATGTTTTTGATATCTTGCTCTCTCTCATCTTCTGGGACCCCCATAATTCTGATGTTGGTTCGCTTGAAGTTGTCCCAGAGGTTTCTTACATTATCTTCAACTTTCTGGATTCTCTGCCTTCTTGTGTCTGCGGAGGAGTGTCTTCTGGCTCTTTATGTTCCAAATCTTTGACTTGATTCTTGCGATCTTCCATTCTGTTTTTAGGACTCCATAAAATATTTTTTATTTCAGACAATGTATTCTTTATTTCTTGTTGATCCCTTATTATTTCTAGTTGATCCCTTTTCATATC